GGGGGGCTCTCTGTTCCTGTCGGTTTGGCGAGGGAACAGAGAGTCGGGGCCCCGAGAGGTAATTGTAGGTATGAGTTCGTTGATTTTGTGGACAAACTTTCTGCAACGCGTGGAAAAAGTAAACTGTGGTCGTGTTTAAAGATCCTAATGATGTCCATGGGTTTTTCTCCTTCAAACATCCAGGGTCGTGGTTTCTGGTCTTCCTCAGTCTTCTTGGTCAGTCTTGCTGCGTTGACAGGCGCTCTTTGACCTCTTCATGTTGCGCAAGGGCCCGCAGCGCGGGCCGCCGGTGGGGGAGTTGGAGACGCCGCCCAGGCGCGGGTCCGGGCCCAACCGGAGCAAGGCAGCTGGGGGGGCGCGCCGATTTTCAGCCGCAGGAATGACAATCGTGCGCTGCCGACGACATCTCCCAACAAGAGCAAGAAGCGCCCAATGACCACCACCTTGCCCAACAAGCGGGCCAAGTGAGTGCATTGGCCACTTGGATGTGCAGTGATTGGATGTTGGGGCATCGAAAGATGAGGATGAGGAGCCTTCCAACTGATTGTGGTCCATGTGATCCTGGTTTCAGTCTCTTGAGAGTTAGCCAACTGGCGATAGTCTGCCCCACTTGGCGGTGCATCTCAGGTCAGAGCTGCGCTGAATGGGGCGGCGCACATGTTCTGTGCTATCTAATTTCTATCATAGCTCCCGTGGGTGTGTCCCACAGGCCTTCTTCCGGGGTACTTGCTTGCAGGCTGAGTCATGACCAAATGCATGCCCTAACCTGTCATAGGTTAGGCAACAAGAAGCATCCAGTCTCAAGCACCTAGCTTCTGGCATGCCAATGCTTGTCCATAAGCAGAAAGGTCTCCATGATGTTGCCATGCTTCATGTCTCAGCCTGGAAGTCACTGTGAGCCATATAAAGCCAATGTTTTCCTTGGCTCCTTGACTTGTTATGATTGAAAATTGAAAGGGCGTGGATCTTTCAACGCAGGAGTCCCATATTGACATCGAAGAAAGTCCTGGAGTCCTCGCGGAATGGCTTTATCTGGATAGTTATGTGGTTGAGCATCTGCACTTTTGGCAGGTGGGTATATCTTTCGCTTCATGTGGCATCATTTTAGGTTGCGACACGCTCGGGACGTCCGGAAGTGACGAACAAATGCGCTGGGCTTGTGTATGCCTGACAGCAAAACAGGGCCACCAGATCCAATGAGCTGCTGTCAATGTGCCTTGCTTGACCTGAGATACTGCGGCCCATGTGTTCTTGAGCTGGTGAAGCTATTCTATAGACACAAAAGGGCTGTTGTGATGTGATTGAGTTGTACATGCTTGAAATGTCCCAGCCAACAGTGGTTTAGAGCCGTGGCCTAGATTAGAGTACAATACGGCATGCATGCGGCATGCACAAGTGAAAACCTGAAGTACCTCCATCCTGTGGACTGCCTGAGGTAGCTGAATGGTGGTGTTCTTCACTGTCAGTCATACATCCTTCCGCTTCTTCAGCGGCCCTTCCAACAAGCTGACCATGACACAATTGACATCAGTAGGTGATAAGTACTCACATCTACACAGCCACAACACCAACAGCTCAAAGTAATTATCACTCGTAAAGGGCTGCACTTCTCCATGGATTTGCAGTTGTCGCGGGGTACTGTGCACACGTGCAAGGCAGGGAACACTTGCAGAGTTGGACTTGATGAATCACACATAGATTTGCAACATTGTGCACAGTGATCCCCACATGGATTACACGAGTGGTGTACATTTTTTGTGGGTAATGCAACTACACACACGCACAGCTATATCACACACACATATATTATGTATAATATACAACTATGTGTAGATTGCATGTTGCAAGGGCTTTCTATGTTCAAGTGCTTTCATTGTGCAATTAGTATTTGTGTCGGCAGCAGGGCGTGGTGTTCTGCATCCTGGAACTTGTGACTGGAGTTACTGATTGCTGCATGCTGGTATCCAGCGAGGCTAGTGCCAATTTTCACCCACAGGCTTGCAGACAGCCTGCTGTGGTGCAGCCTGGTGGAAATCTCTTTCCGCTCCTTGGCTTCAGGTGCTGCCTGGGGGTCCAACACTGATAACCACCCAGGCAACATCAAATCTGCGTCCATCCAGTCCTTCAGCTGCCCCGTGCCACCGAGGCTGCACAGACAACCTGCTGACCAAAGGCCAGCGGCCAGTTGAACCAGCCAAAGTATTTTTAGGGTGGCACGTTGCAGAACCGATTCTTGTATTTTGACTCATTGATCCGTGAGTGTAGGATCATTCTAATCAGAAGGCCAGAAGACCTCCCACAGTTACAAATCCATCCCGCTTTTCAGGAGAACTTGGTTGCGTTCAAGCATTGCAGGTAGCTCGTCCAGCTGCAGCTGTTTGATGGCTGATGAAGGTCCCAAGATAAGATAGCCCAGCTGAGCTGTCTAAATTTGTTGTGCACAAAATTTAGAAAAGGATGATATTTGGCTCAGTGTTTTAATGACGTTTTGTTCAAGCATGGCACAGAAGTATTTGGAGATTTGGGGTACTTTTGTACAAAGATATTATTAAACAACCCACTTACAACCCACTTTGTTAGGCCATTCCTGAAGCCTGCAACATTTGCAATGCTTCACAACGCAAGTTTTTCCTCTTTTAACAATCACATTTTAACTTGGAACCCTACTAATCCTACTACATATACATACTTTAGCTAGTTTTCACACATTCCAAGCAAGAAAGCCGTGTGCTACCTAGCACCGGGAGAGAGCCCTTGCAGAGTGACGTGCTATGGGTGGAGTGGGCTCTAGAAGGAGCCAGGTGAACAGGCGAGGTGGCATTGCAGAGTCAACGAGCATGGATCAAAACTCAAGAGATTAAAGCTATGGAAGTTTGACATGTGCAGTAGTCCATTGGTTAACCTTTCCGGGCCAACCGCAACCGGTTCCTGGGCTTAGACCATAGCCCACTGAGTCTGAGGAGTCATCCCTGAGTTGCGTTTGGTGCGGCAGTGTCAATGAACGGCACAATCTGAATCCAGTTTTACTGTATGTGCAAGTGTGCTGAGGACCTCAGTAGAAAAGGCAAAAAAAGAAGTGAGCTGCTTGCAATTTCAGAGATGGCAAGCCTCTCCGTCGGTGAGGTATGTGGAGTACCTGGAAGATAGTCCCACTGGACGGACAGCTACGACTGGGTCGGTTGCGTCCATGTTGTCTGCAAAAGTAGACTTTGACACGATGATGTACTTGTCTCGATTTGGAAGCTTGGCCCAATTGGATGGGTAGAAGCATGGGGCTGTGTGAACGACGAGCCGTTGCCCAAATCACACAAGCCGCAGCCAACCAAGCGTTTGCAGTTGCTGCACCAGCTTTAGCATGCATCGGGGTTTGTTTTCAGGGACGCATCTTTTCAGACAGACAGCTTAGCATTTCACCTTTGATGACTTGCTTCGGCCAAGCCCCCACTGACCAGGACGCGCGGCTCCCAACGGCCGAGACCGGCGCACGCCGACGCCCGTTGCGCCGAGGCTTTGGTGTTGGCCGTGCTGATCCCTTGATGTCCTTGGAGGTGGAGCAGTACATGGAGCGCGAAGGGCACCGAAAATACGAGGCGCACCGCCCGGTCGGCGGTTTCCGCGAAGGGCCGCTTAATTTGTGTGTGTGGTCGGTGCTTGCGTTTGGTTGGTTGCCTTGAGCTGCCTTGGTTTGGTTGGTTGGTGGGCTGTTTCTTTGGGCAGCAATGGCGCACCTGGCGCAGGTGCGCTGTGCACTCCGTTTGCCCGAGCTGGCAGCACTGGTGGCAGACAAACAGGAGTTGCAGGCACAACCAAGTCGGTATTTGGAGAAATGCTGAGGGAATAATCAAGAATCTCAGGCAACTGCGACGGGGTCCAGATCAAGAGCGGTAGCATGCAAACCTCGTCGTTTCTTTCGTCCACTCCATGGGAAGAGAAGCGACATGCAACATCATGCAACATGGAAGAGATTGTTGTGGGCTGCAAGACTCCATTTCAAGTCACAGCGTCCCGCGATGTTCCACATCTTCTTCAAGTCACGTCTCCCGCTGCACCCGATGAGGTCGAAGGGCTCTTTGATGTGCTGCCTTTGACCTGGAGCTGCTGGAAGCGGCTCTTTGAGCTGCGCGAAAACCTCTACGAACCCGTGAAGGAGGGGACCGACCGTGGCTGAGCAACGAATACGATTCTGGTGTGGTTTGCCAAAGGGAAGGTAGGTTGAAGGAATATGTGGACATAAGATGACGTAGTGTTCAATTTTTTTGAGTGCATATGAGTGCATAAAGCTTTGGGACGAGGCTGGACCTGAGATTGGGATTCACCCCAGAGAGGGAATTGATGCAATGCATCCTAGCGCTGAGCCAGGTCTTAGAGAGACACCTGTTCAGGAGTGAGAAAGCATGAGCAGGTCGGTTGGGAAAACAGTACAAGAAGTGCAACTAAGATTCATCAACTCTTCAATTCAGGCCTGGAAGTCTGTGGAATTGTGGTAGTCTGTCGAATTCCAGGAGTGCTTGGGTGCCAGCTATGAGAAGCACTTCAAAAATGCTCCTTTTGCGCTCCGCATCGGCCGCCTGGCCGGTTGATGAGCCATCCGCCCGTTCCGATCGATCCGATCGATCCGCTGGTCCTGGGTGCGTTGCGCGGACTCACCGAGCGCTCCGCACCGCGTCTCTACAACGGACCCGAGCGTTGGTGCCACTCGTTCGGGGCGGTGCCTGAGGTCTCAGCGGTACGTTGGAACGCCTGGACCTCTGGGTGCAACGCTTGGGAGAGTTGATTTGTCAGAAGCAGCTGCAGGGCAGAGCCTCGGTGTCCACACCGTCCGTCGGATGGAGAGATCTGAATAGACCAGGGGGAGGATCGTGCGCGGTGAGCGACGACTGGACTTGTGGTGTGTCCATTTCAGTTGTGAGGAACACGGAGGGAAAAACAGATGTAGAAGAAGATAGCAATGAGACAGCAGCCAGCAATTGGAGGGTAGACCATGCCGGAGGCTTTTGGGCAGAAGTTTTCTCTTTGGGAGGCTTTTTCCTTAGCATTTTTGGGTGTGTCGCATTTTCAGACACCCTCCCTGTTGATGTGAAGAGTCTACTACAAAGTCAATTGCACCCCAACTGGTGCAGAAGTCCTGGGAGCAAGCAAACGCTTTGGCTGCCGGAAGGGCCAATGTTGTACGGACCCCCTCGATCCGCAGCTTTGTTACACTTTCTGCAATTTTTTGCCAATCGACTGGTCAGTTGTTATCGGTCCAGTCCTTTCATTATTGTATATATATATACATGCGTGTGTGTACCTGCCTGCAAATCCTGCATGGCCATAAGGATTTGCCAGGTGTTTGAGGTGGATTTGGAGGGATCCCTTCCACCTGTAGGCACTTGTGGCCGGGGTCTGCGGGATGAATGGGATGGGCTGGCGTGACTCACTTGGAGAATTCCTCAAAAAGACCCTGCATCTCATCATTCCGCTTGATTGCAGCAAGAACTGCAGGGAGTTGAAACCTCATGAAATCTCACATCGCCATCTCGCCATTGGCCAGCCTTCCTTCGGTTCGCAGATGCTCCAGGACTCCTTCCGATCCTCCGGACGCAATGCGACGTCGTCGTGACCGTCCGGACGCAACGACCGTCCGCACCTCCGCCCAGGATGCCTGGCGCTCGTCCTCAGGCGATCACCGGTGTTCACGCAGCTCTCGGGCTTTGTCAACCCAAATTCGACTCGACCAATTCAGGAAGTGATATCAAGTATAGTATCATATAGTATCGCGCACACACACACAGAGATACAGATATAGATATAGATACACACACATACATACATATATATATACACATGTTTATGAATCAGATGCATTTTTTGGACGCAACATGCTTGTCAAGGCATTTGTCATCGAAGTTTTCAACTCCGGAGTTTGCCCACTCTCATCGTCCAGACGGTGCTCCACCCGTGCCGTGCGTCCGTTCGCTGGAAGTGCCAGCTGCTTCAGGTTTTTGGATGCGCCAGCGCCTGAGGAGTCGGAGGATGGCACGCTCAAACCAAAGGCCGTCAGCGAGTTATCAAGGACATTGAATGACCCGAAGCAACTGGGTAAACGTGAACGGATCGTTCTGCTTCATGCAGTTTGTATGTGTTTGCTTTATCTGTTATGTCTATGTTGAGTCCTGAACTTGTTTTGCATACTGTTCTCCTTCCACCAAGTTTCGAGGTTTAAGG